AAAGGGGGGGTATTTGGCACTTTGCACCTTAAATTACATGTCATTGGCACTTTGCACCCTAAAATTAGAAAAATGGCAGAATGCATTCTACAATTACATTTTGCTTGGCACTTTGCACCCTAATTCATTTTTTGGCTAGAAAAGTGACCTGCTACATGTTATGTGAGATTTGAATAGGGGCAACATCTTTTATTTTTCCATAAACTTCCATTTCTTTTATGATTTCTTAGACAAGTACGAGATTAGTGTCAATTACATCAATCCAACAACTAATTCAACCATCTCTTTGTCCCAAGAAGATAAACCAAACATTAGAATATTCATTTGTAGAGTTTCTCTTATCTTATAAGTTAAATATCTACTCCATAATATTAAATATAAAAATTACTTTCTTCTTTTATGCATTTGATGTTTTAACCAATTGAGGTAATGAAAAAAATTGAAAGTAAACCTTTTTTTTCTTACACAAATAACCATAATATATACATAATTCTCCTTTTAAGTCCATATGAACAAGAAATATTAAGTCTTATTATCTATTTAAAATACAATCTAAGTGGTGAAAATTTATGGAATTGCAGATTGCATATACCTTTATTTGCTTATACCATATTAACAAACATTAATTTTGAATGCTTGCTTTTAATTGAATACGTATTTATTTAAAATAAATAAAATATAAATTTATTCAAAATTGGAGTAAAATATCCTCAACTTTTGATAGAGAATATTGAACAATATAGTTGTTCTTGGTCGGGTTTGGATATGTTAGGGGTGGGAACGAGCCGAGCTCGGCTCTTTTGGCCAGCTCGAGCTCGAGCTCGAGTCCATGTTCCCGAGCTCGAGCTCGAGCTCGAGCTCATCGAGCCAATTTTTTTTGGCTCGAGCTCGAGCTCGAGCCAATTTTGGCGAGCTCGAGCTCGAGCTCGGCTCGAGCTTATTAATTTTTTTTTTTTTTTTTTTTATTATTATTATTATTATTTAATTTTTTTATTAAAATTATTTTTTTTATTAGAAATTATTCATAGGAAAATTAAAAAAAATTATAAAATAAATAATGAACTCTAGTTATATATATTTTTTATTTTTTCTATTATTATTATTATTATTATTATTATTATTATTATTATTATTATTATTATTATTATTATAATAATATTTTATATAATTATGAATTATTTAAGTAATATAGATTTGTTTCTATTTAAATACTAGATATATTTATTATTATAGACTATTTACTATTTAGTTAATAATAATAATAATAATAATAATACTAATAATAATAATAATAATAATAATAATAATAATAATAATAATAATAAGGGGGAATAATAATAATAATAATAATGGGGGATAATAATAATAATAATAATAATAATAAGAATAAGAATAATATATATATATATAGAGATCTGTATTTATATATATCGATCTCTATATTT